TTACTATCCATTACACTGTTGCATATGCGATGGAGAAATTAGGGTATAACAATAAATAGAGTATACATATTGCGTGGACCATTTAAAAGTTGCATATCTCCCCAGCCTTGTCCTCCAGCATGCCATTACTCTGTTCGATCAATGAATACGCCACTATTGCATACCCGCCCATTACTATCCATTACATTGTTGCATATGCGATGGAGAAATTAGAGTATAACTATAAATAGAGTATACATATTGCGTGGACCATTTAAAAGTTGCATATATCCCCGTCGTTGTCCTCCAGCATGCCATTACTTTATTAGATCAATAGATACGGTACTCTTGCATACAGAGAGAGGTTATAAAGTACATATTGGTACTTTGTAACCTCTCTCTGGAAATCTACCCTAAACCACCCCTGGTACACCCCCATTCCTAACGAACCTTCTTTCCACACCCTTACTAAAGAAGAACAAACGGCGATTTCAAGATTACGAACAGGACATCTTAGTATGCTCAAATTTAATGGGAAAATCAAAACATTCCCGAAATGTCCCAAATGCGATTCCCAACCAGCCAGTCCTGAACATCTATTAAATTGTATCAAATCCTCCAAAAATGACCTCTGGGAAAACCCCAGAACTATAATAGAAAAGATGAGACAATGGAACCTAATGGAGATCGTTTAAACGACTTGAAGAATAAGCAACAACAACTTTATAAAATTGTTTATACTTTTTTCCTTTTCTTAGACATCGGGGCGAGTCTATGTAAGACGAAATGTCCAAATGAAAAAAATCCTTAATTATTTATAAACATTTTGACCATTAGTTTTAAAAGGTCTTTGTCTTCTTTTTATTAATATGTGTTTATTTTAGGATGTTCTTAAACCCAATGTAAATATTGTAAATATTTGTACTTACATTTTTATAATTCGTAATAATATAGGATTAACTTGACAATTTCTTTATTAACTTTGAGATATTTTGATGTTTATTTATTAAAGAGTTAAAAAATAAAATATACTTTACTACTTGATATAATAAATATTTTTAATTTTTTAATAAACGACCACACTTAGTAAGAAACCTCTACCAAATATCTATATATACAAGTATATTTTTACAAATATCGTAATATATATATATATGTCGTAAACCCGGGTAAGCCAAAAAGTGAGTTGGAAGCAGTCGGGGTTGAGTGGCAAGGCGTGCAGAGTGGGAAGTCCGCACGGGACAGTAAGGACAAAGTTTGGGATAAAAGACGCTCTCCTAGTACGTTTCAAGTGGCACCAGAAACCAGGGGAAAGTTGAGGATTAACTGAGGAAAGCTCGGCGTCCTGCATGAAGCCGCGGAGGCAGAGAGGAGCCAAAAGGGCGGCCACGAGGGACGCCGTGAGATGACCACCGAGCTCGACCGAGCGGCCTGTCCGAAAATATCCAAACTGTCAACATCCGGACCAACGCCTTTTTGTCCCTCTCTGGATCCCCCGGGTGTCCGATGGCAAGCTGGTGTCACTTTGAGACGACTAGAAAGACGTCATACTTTATTACTTACATATCACATTGTTTAAATATAAACTCCATATACACTCTACTTAAGAAAGTTTTACCATTCAGCATGTATATCAGGATTCAGACAATAACTCTGAAAGTTATTACAGTGACCTTTATTGAAGACAAACGAGATAACCAAGTGTGAACAGCCTCTGTCTCCTTAAAAAAAGAAAAAAAAAAAACAGACGACCGGCGATATCAAAGACTTTCCACTTCAGTAAATTTTGTCCATGAGTGTTCATACACAATATATGCCTATATAAATCAATTTATACATAATTAAATCATCCGCGTATATAAAAACCTCAAAAAAACATACAACAAACAAAAAAAAAACATTTTAAACACATTATCAACTACAAAAAAGGTGCAAAAAACCCGGTGAGAATATCATTAAAATAATTAGCTATAAAAAATATAACAAAGATAAAAAAAACTTACATCAGAATGTCATTATATAACATCCACGCTGCCATTTGGAGAGAAAGAAACAAATTTAATTAGAAAAAAAAAAGTGTTTTTTTTACCTCGCTCTGTCTACACCAGCGACGTAGAGACAGATCTACAGACATTTCTCTACCGTCGATGGGAACTACAATTACAACTTGCCACCATTTGTCTACCAAATTGTTCCCTAGGTGTGGGCTCAAACTCTAGCAGGAGAAAAATACCCCCAACTTAGGAAGAAAAAAAAACTATTCGAGTTTGTTTTGTACCGTCTTTGATACCTTTCCGATGTTTATATTCTGAAAACTTCTTAAATCATTTTAATCAAGATGTTTAGTTTATTCTGAATAATAAACAAATGTGGAAAATAAACAATATATATTTATAATACAATATAAATACGGGTTATGATTGTAGAACGGCATTTGAAAATTATCCCGCATGTGTTTCTTTTGAACGACAAAATCTATTTTAAGGAGAAATAACAATTATTTTTAACCTTAAGGATGAAGTATGAAAGGATGAATTGTGAAGAGTAATTATAAACATAAAAATAAAGTATCCAGGGATGGGAATCGAACTCACAGTGTTCCGCTTACCAGGCAGATGCCATGTCCACTAGGCTACCCTGGACATATTTTTCCGTTCGTAAATATTATACAAAGTAATTTATATTACAATATAATGCGGTTTATGATTGTAAAACGACATTTGAAAAATAATAAAAATATAGGAAAATGGTCAGGTGTTAATATTAAAAACAAAAAAGGCATATCTTAACGTTTAAATGAGCATTTTTAGATGGTAAAGCGCCATCTAGAGGAACAAAAATAAACTAAACGTTGATTTAACCTGTTCCCTGATATTTATCACTCAAGAACACACACACATAAGAATTATTTAAGAATAAATTATTTAAAAAAATATATGTAACAAATTGTTAGTCACAGATTTTAAATATATTAAATATAGGTTAATCATTAAGTCAGAAGAATAAGCTAATTCTGTATTAAATAATTAAGACAAGTTGAAAATATAAATTAGCGAATATATATTTATATTTTGAACTTCTCGCTTATCTTAAAAAGGTAATATATATCATTTATTATACATTTTTTGGAAAGATCATGCTACTTTTCGATAAAATAATCCCTTGAATTAATATTAAAATAATAACAATAAGCATCCAGGGAAAAGTTTAATTTTAAAAATATTTTGCTTTAAATATTTTTAAATAAAAGAAATATTTTAAAAAGAAACTTTTCCCTGGATTTTTAATGTTCTTATTTTAAACATGCTCCTTAATATGATCATTCAAAATTTTCGGCGTGATTTTCTTTCTATTTCACAAAATAAAACAGACTTTCTACTATCCTGACTGCTGTGAAGAAAAATTATAAGGAGTGCCTAGCTCATCAGTAGGGAACCTTTCTGAGGTTTCGCCAGTTTAATTTGAAAGGAATGGTAGATTAAACCTAGCGATACAACTGGGAGGGTTGGCTACTGATGAACCAGACTTTTCTAACCTTTTCACATTGCAGAAAGGACAGTAAAGAAGTTTTGTTTTATTTTGTAAAATGAAAATAAGAAAACCCGATAAATTGTTGCATAACATATATACCCTATATTTAACATTTTAACCACCACCAACAACAAAAGCAATTTTAATTAAATTATCTTTCTGTATTCTATATACACTCATACATAAAACCTAAAGAAGTGGTGGGTCTTTGATGTTGTCGGTCGTCTGTTTTTTTGAAGGAGACAGAGGCTGTTCACACTTGGTTATCTTGTGTGTCTTCAATAAAGGTCACTGTAATATCTTTCAGATTTATTGTCTGAATCCCGATATACATGGTAAAAGGTATAACTTCCTTAAGTTTTGTCCATGAGTGTATTTGGTTATCTCGTGTGTCTTCAATAAAGGTCACTGTAATATCTTTCAGAGTTATTGTCTGAATCCCGATTTACATGTTAAAAGGTACAATTTCCTTAAGTTTTGTCCATTAGTGTATTTGGTTATCTCGTGTATCTTCAATAAAGGTCACTGTAATATCTTTCAGAGTTATTGTCTGAATCCCGATATACTTGCTAAAAGGTACAAATTCCTTAAGTTTTGTCCATTAGTGTATTTGGTTATCTCGTGTGTCTTCAATAAAGGTCACTGTAATATATTTCAGAGTTATTGTCTCAATCCCGATATACATGATAAAAGGTACAACTTTCTTCAGTTTTGTCTATGAGTGTATTTGGTTATCTCGTGTGTCTTCAATAAAGGTCACTGTAATATCTTTCAAAGTTATTGTCTGAATCCCGATATACATGCTAAAAGGTACAACTTCCTTTAGATTTGTCCATGAGTGTATTTGGTTATCTCGTGTGTCTTCAATAAAGGTCACTGTAATATCTTTCAGAGTTATTGTCTGAATCCCGATATACATGCTAAAAGGTAAAACTTTCTTAAGTTTTGTTTATGAGTATAATTGTTGCGAACAAATAATTTATATTTTATTATTTTATTTATTTAAATTAATCAATGAAAATATTTTTGACACAAATAATTACTCTCTATTTATGAAATCATCATAAACGTTCTATAGCTTGGTTGTTCAAGATTCCCTAGCTGTAGATAGTTTTGTTGATAATTGTCGACTAGTTCGTACTGACGTCATCAAAAATACTTTCACATCTTAAGATATTCCAAGAGTTCTACGCAACAATATATATGGCAAATACATATTGACTGAGTACGTCATATACTAAGTACAGTAAAAAACGGATCGTAAAACAAATTACAATATAATACAATATTTTTTCTTAACATATTTACATATAATACAATATAATACGGCTTATGATTGTAAAACGACATTTGAAAAATATCCCGCATGTGTTTCTTTTAAACGAAAAATCGAAATTTATTTTAAGGAGAAATAACGTTTATTTCTAACCTTAGGGAGGAAGTATGAAATGATGAATTATGAAGAGTAATGATAAACGGAAAAATAAAGTTTCCAGGGATGTGGGAATCGAATCCACAGTGTTCCGCTTACTGGGCAGATGCTATGTCCACTAGGTTACCCTGGACATATTTTCCCGTTCGTAAATATTATATGAAGTTAATTTATAATATAATATAATGCAGTTTATGATTGTAAAACGACATTCGAAAATTAGCCCGCATGTGTTTCTTTTGAACGAAAATTCGAAATTTATTTTAAGGAGAAATAACGATTATTTCTAACCTTAAAGATGAAGTATGAAAGGATGAATTGTAAAGATTAATGATAAACGGAAAAAATGAAGTTTCCAAGGATGGGAATCGAACGGGAAAAAAATTATTAATATTTTACACCAAGAGGTGTAAGAGAGGGAAATATATATATGAGATAGAGATAGAGAGTGAAGATGTTTGCAGACAAAGAAAAGAGCAAAGAACAAGCCAAGACACACCACCAAAGTCAACTGCAGCCCTCCCAACAAATAAATAAAACCTGGCAAGTTTACTTATGCCGTGTTGGAGAGCTTCTTGAAGTGTTCTTCTGGTGAAGTTTGCCAAGGCAAGATCTGTTGGGGGGAAATCTAAGTTTGTATAGAGTGGCTTGTCTATATAGTCATATTGGTTTATTTTTATACTGTTATAATCTCTCAATAATATTTTAACCTGTAGATGAATCAAATCTCTCTATACTTTACGGCAAATGAAGTTTCTTTAATAAGTAGCGTTTCTTTAAAATTATATTTATTAGAGAATTTTTATTTACTTTTTTTTGTGATTGTTCCTTTATCTTTAGGTTTAAAAATTTGAGGATAGTAAAAGAATTAATTTTAAATATTGTTCACAGAATAATATATTTGAGCGGTCTATTCTAAAGGAGTTAATACGGGATATATATCTATATATTGCATGTTTAATCTGTCAAGGGGAACTTGATGGATGTTGTTGTCAAATATTATATTTATTCTATGATTGTAATAATCTGTGACTTAAAATCTGTGATATCAGGAATATATAGGTGAGAGTCAATAGAGATGTGTGGTTACAGAGATGTTATTGTATTAGTAATGTTTACTTAGATATATTCAGTAATTTATGTTTCTTATACCTTCAATAAATATGATTTATATTTTAGAAGAAAAGTAATTATTGAGATCAACAAACAGAACTGTCCTCCTGCAAGGTCTGGGATCTCTACTCCACCAACTCGCCATGTGTAAATAGCCAAGACAAGGTGACTCGACACCTGTAAATTAAGACGTACTAAATCTAAGAGGAATGGTGTAAATTCTAGTGTCTAATTTATGTTTCTGTGTATTCAATGTATTTGTTCATGTTAGAAAGTTAAAACTTGATTTTATTTTTACGTGAAGATGTTTGTTTGTTTAGCACACCTTAATATAATATAGACTCATGGACAAAACTTAAGGAAGTGGAAAGTCTTTGTGTGATATCGCTGATCATTGTTTAATTTTATTATTATTTTTGGAAGAGATAGAGGCTTTTTACACTTGGTTATCTTGTGTCTTCAATAAAGGTCACTGTAATATTGTAACATAGTATTTATTAATTTTATTATTTTTTATTTAACAGAGTGGTCATTTTTTATGTTTTATATCTTGCGACTCTGTAAATTCCCCTCGTGGCTTATCTTTTGTTTACCTTTGATAGTTTGTCCTCCCCTGAAATAAATTTTGTTTCCTCCTGAAGTTTTTGTCTTCCCTAATTTTCCACGTGGCAATATCTTTCAGAGTTATTGTCTGAATTCAGATATACATGCTAAAAGGTAAAACTTCCCTAAGTTTTGTGCATAAGTGTACATATAAAAGTATTTTGCCTAATGTTTGTTTAAATGAAATACTTTATATATTATGTTTAAATCAATAAGCTTGAGGGATAAGTTTCTTTTAAATACATTTATTTCAAGCTTTGGGCGGTTGAGCCCGAAAGCTTGAAATAAATGTATTTAAAAGAAACTTATCCCTCAAGCTTATTGATTTAAACATAATATTATGGGATTACCTATTAATTAATAATAACTTTATATATTAATTAAGTGTTGAAAAAAATATTTTTCTCTATACCATATCATCAGATACAACATATTCTGGACCGAAGTAGAAGATTTTATAACCTCTCTCGTAAGATGTTATGAAATCAAAGCCGTCCCTGTACTGATGAGGGTCATAGCCAGAAACCATGGTATACAGGTTGTTGGCTTTTGTCTGTATTTTCCTAAACTGGTGTTGTAGCCTTTTTACTTATATAAATCGGTTCGTGTGTGTTCTGCACAGATAGGATAAAAAAATGCATTATTTTCGATACATTTAATAAATACAATTTAATACATTTATGTCAGAATAACCGAGCAAGACTACGATTGCATTTTTTAATGCGGGGGAAAAATCTTCATGTAAAATTCGTCGTATTCCACCTCAATATGTTTACATTTAAAAAAAACCTATTTTATATCTTTATTAAACAACCATGATATTAAAAAAATCAATGTAAAAGGGATAAAGTAATTTATTAAGAAACAATACCCTGTATACACTCATGGACAAAACTTAAGGAAGTTATACCTTTTAGCATGTATATCGGGATTCAGACAATAACTCTGAAAGATATTACAGTGACCTTTATTGAAGACACACGAGATAACCAAATACACTCATGGACAAAACTTAAGGAAGTTGTACCTTTCAGCATGTATATCAGGATTCAGACAAAAACTCTGAAAGATATTACAGTGACCTTTATTGAAGACATACGAGATAACCAAATACACTCATGGACAAAACTTAAGGAAGTTGTACCTTTTAGCATGTATATCGAGATTGAGACAATAACTCTGAAAGATATTACAGTGACTTTTATTGAAGATACACGAGATAACCAAATACACTCATGGACAAAACTTAAGGAAGTTGTACCTTTTAGCATGTATATCGGGATTCAGACAATAACTCTGAAAGATATTACAGTGACCTTTATTGAAGACACACGAGATAACCAAATACACTCATGGACAAAACTTAAGGAAGTTGTACCTTTTAGCATGTATATCGGGATTCAGACAATAACTCTGAAAGATATTACAGTGACCTTTATTGAAGACACACGAGATAACCAAATACACTCATGGACAAAACTTAAGGAAGTTGTACCTTTTTAGCATGTATATCGGGATTCAGACAATAATTCTGAAAGATATTACAGTATTCTTTATTGAAGACACACGAGATAACCAAATACACTCATGGACAAAACTTAAGGAAGTTGTACCTTTTTAGCATGTATATCGGGATTCAGACAATAATTCTGAAAGATATTACAGTATTCTTTATTGAAGACACACGAGATAACCAAGTTTAAACAACCCCTGTCTCCTTAAATAAAAACAGACGACCAGCGAAATCAAGGACTTTCCACTTTTTTACATTTTGCCCACATGAGTGTATATAGCGTTCATTTCTAAACTGTTAATAAAGTTCTTTGCTTAAAGAATGTTTTTCAATTGATATTAATAAACCAAATAGTGTCGTCTGATTGATGTTTTCACAGATTAATAAATTTAGTTAAAAAGGACGATACGATCTGAATCTCTCAAAGACCAAATATAACATTTATATTTCTATTCTAATTATATGTTTTTTTAAATTTATATTCACTTTAACCAACCCTCGATAATCTCGTTTAAATAAACAAGATCTATTAAACGATTAGGAACTCTTAATAATAGGTTTATACGAATAAAAATAAAACGATAAGAGGAGCTTATTTTATATTTTAATGCGCAAGCTTTCGGACCTAACGTCCTTCTACAGGCATGGATAGTGGTAATACTAACCTATCCTTGCCTGAAGAAGGACGTTAGGTCCGAAAGCTTGCGCATTAAAATTTATAAAAGAAGCTTCTCTTATCGTTTTATTTTTATTCGTATAAACAAGATCTATATTTGTATATCAAAATAGTACATATCGTGGATGACTTTTCTTGATTTATCAAGAAATTGGGTTGGCCAAATATCAGGGAACAGGTTAAATCAATGTTTAGTTGATTTCTTTTCCACCAGATGGCGTTCTGCCTTCTGAAAAGCACATATGCTCCTGGTCAGGATATGACTTTTTTATTTTTAAAAATAGTATATATCATTAATTTATTAACGTGATACTCCTGTTGAAGAACTGACAAGTCCGAGAGCTTGAAAATAAAAAGTTGCATAAGAAACTTAGCCTTGGAAGCTTTATTTATTTTATAACACAAGATCTATAAATATGATGAATAAGCATGCCATCTGTTATTAAAAATTGTAACTATTTTAGACGTCTATGATTTTTTTAAAATTAAAACCTAGCTACATCACACAATCTATATTCTGTTTTTGTCATAGTTCTTATGTGTCATTTGGTCAAAGAATCATACAGATAAATGGATTATTTTTAATAATGATTTTTTATTCATATGATGTTAACAATGAAAAAGAGAGAAAAAAAACGAGAAAAAAAGAACTGTGTACAAAAGAAAGAAGTGTCTGGCAATATGTACAATAAACATAATATAAATTATCAGTTTCTTAAAAGATATTTGTTGCTATATAATTTAAAATACTGTATATCTACTAAAGTTATTTAATTTAATATAGATTTCTTTACTGAAAATGAAAATACTTGGATCTGTTACTATTAAATTATTTTCAATTCTATAGTCTTGAAAAACAGGACAATCTAGTAAAAGATGTATTGAGGCTTGTTCCTCATGTCCACAAAAACAACTCGAGTCTTCCACCGAAAATAGACCTGTACCATTAGCAATTAGCTTTGCTATGAACATAAAACTCGAGATACAAGAGTATCAATGTTTATATCATACCTAGCTACGTCACAAAATCTATATTCTGTTTTTCTCATAGTTCTTATGTGTTATTTGGCAATAGAATCATATTGCGACATGTGAATTATACTTGTTGAATAGTTACTGTTGTCTCATTGAGTGTGATGGACAATCCTACTTGTGGAATAAAAGTCAGACGACTGTGAAGAGCCTCAGAAATAAAGTCTCATCTGACGTCACTATTAAAATGATGAAT